CCGCTTTGCGATGATCGGTAAGCGAAACAGGGACCCGATCATCGCAAAGCGAAAAAAACCCATTTAAAACATCGCAATGCGATCGCTTTTGCGATCGCAAATCATCGCTATGCGGTTTTGTCGCTAAACGGGGCACCCGTTAAGCAAGGCACCACTGTATCTGCAAGTCACAATGAAATTAGCCACAGAATCCCCCTGATCCTTGTCACATCCAAGTGTACATGTCCCCCACGTTAAGTGACAGTATACAATGTCTGGGATCAAAAGCTTCAAAACTAAGCACTGTTTACTGGTCACTGCAGCCAAAGAAAGGTGTGTTGAGCAAATATAAAATATAAATCAAATAAATAAAAACCTACCCCATATCCAGTAGCTAAAGTCCGTGTACTAGATGTACCTGGAACTTTGGCTGTAAGCTTGTAAGAAGAAAATTCAGAATTAATGAAGAATTATTCATTACTTAACAGAAACCAGTATATTTTAAATACAATTTTCACAAAAAATTACAACAAAGCTATATACAGATTTATATGACATTATATTTTCCCTTTATTATTGACATAAAATGCCTTTTTAATGTTATCATTACATACAACCTCCTGACAAGACAGTAAGAAAGGGTGAATCGTCTTCAGAATTCAGACAAGACTGTCTCCTACTGGTCAAAAGGGAGAACATTTTATTAGGTGGACTTGAAAAATTACTGGCCAGAATCCAACTGAATATTTATGCTACCTTAAAGTTAACAGTGAATTGAGCAGTGAATTGTCACCATGTAAAAAGTCAATGCTTGCATTTGTATTGTACACCAAGTCACAAGACTGGTGTATGACATGGCAAGCAAGTGACAATTTCTTAACAAACAGCAATTCATCACTGATATTTACACCATTCAACTTTTGTAGGTATATATTACAGGATTTTGGCCACTGCATTACAAATTACTTGATCAGATCCAAGACAAAATGCAAAATCATCTATTGTTCAGCAAAAGAGTATATAAACTGCATGCAAGAAGCAACAGATTTCATCCCGGTATCTCCAGTTAAGGCATCTGAAACAACAAATCTTGGGGGAAAATCCACACTACACCTTGAGGAATTGGATTTGAGAATTACTGCTAATCAATATTGATAGTGCTATGCCAGAGGGCTACCTATGTGCAGCTAAGAAAGCTTTCATTGCACTTGTTTATCTATTTCTTCTGTTGCATTCTACATACTTTCAATAATTTAGACATTTTCTGTGTGAGAAACTCTGGACACAACTGAGAGTCTCATATATGATTACAGAGGAATGGAGGGAGCAACTGCAAGTGAAAATTGGAACCTCCCTGATAAGAGCCTTCAATAACATACAGAGCAATGGAAATGAACATTCAGAGCATTAACAAATATTACTTCTGTTGTTGTGAAGAAAGCAAGAGTTGCCATCTGAAGCAGAAAGTACAGTCCTATAAATTCAATTAGTCTTTATTTATAAATAAGCATATATGAAGTTAAGCTAAAAGTATTGCAATGGAAGAACCATTCCAAACTGTGTTCATAGGTGCTTAATTTTATATAATAAACATTTACTTACTGGAGGTCTTCTACCATGACTTGTTTTTACAGCCTGCTGAAAAGCTGGATCATTCTCTAAATCCTAAAGTAAAACAACAAAATATAAACACTGTAGGAGCTAAATAATAAACCAGGTATTTCATTCCATATTTAAAATCTTATTCATGCAATTCATGAAATTTCATATTTTGTTAGTACACCTAGATTAATATATTGCAAATATGAATAACTGATACAAACTGCTCTGAATGTTTAGACTTATTATAATGACAATTGTCAAGTGAATTCTGACTTATAGGGATCCTTTTCAGAGTTTTCTAGGCAGAGCCTACTCAGAACTGGTTTACCATTCCTTTCTTCAGGGTGTACCCTGGGATGTGCAGCTTATACAAGGCCATACAGGATAGATCTTCTGAGATGCACAGTAGTGGTTTACCATTCCTTTCTTCTGGGTGCACCCTGGGATGTGCAGCTTACCCAAGGCCATACAGGATAGCTCTTCTGGGATGCACAGTAAGGAATCAAACTCCAACCTCTGGCTCCACAGCCAGATACCTAACTCACTGAACTATCCAGCCAACTTCTCTTTACATTTCTACTTACATTAAAAATACAGTGTGTTGAGGATATTGTTAACTGAATCATCTTTACCATCAAAATAATATGTCGTCATAATACAAACATGATACAAAACATATATTTTACCTCTGTGTCAAAAGTGGGGTTATAATCATTGTAACCAGAGTAAAGATCATCTTCATCTGCTTCGGGTGCCAGGTGAACATTTTTCATCATTTTAACCTAGTTAAACATTGAATATGTCAAACACTGGCCTTGTGTTCCCCAGTTACCAAATATTTATCGATATTTGCTTTGTTGCTTTGTTTTATTTAGAAAAAGAACAATAACCGATCTCTTTTCACGAAAAACACATAAATTGTGCTCACTTTTAATTGCCCAATAGATAAGCATCTAAATTACAGTTCAGCTAATTGGCTAAGGCGGAAAGCAAGACTCTTAACAGCCATGAAAGAAGTGCTCCAATCCAGAGTTCTTTGACTTCAGAAGGCTGCAAACCAATTGCTTCGGGAGTTGCAGTTCAAAAACATCCGAGTAACAAAGGTTAAGAACCACTGATCTAAATTACAGTTCACCTAATTGGCTAAGGCGGAAAGCAAGACTATTAACAGCCATGAAAGAAGTGCTCCAATCCAGAGTTCTTTGACTTCAGAAGGCTGCAAACCAATTGCTTCCACCTTCTCAGAAAATTCAAGATCAATGTATCAGCCATATCAGTTCAGGAACCTGTTTCCTCAGAGGAATTAACAAATGGAATTCTAAATTAGATTAGATTAGGCATCCTTCAGTCTCAATACTATGGTAATGTGCTCTGTTTGGAGGACTTGGAACAGTGTCTAGTGTGGCTGCAAAGGCCAATTCAAGTGGGTAAAGTGAGGAAGGGAATCTGTGATGCCAGAAAATGTTAACACTTCTGGCTGCACCAAGACACCGACAGTAATAATTCAGCAAAGAAATCTCAAATGACAACGTGTGCAATTATATACATGTATATTCAAAAGGGGCTCCCTGAGTTCACTGGGACTTATTCCCAAATAAGTATAAGGCTGCTGCCTTACAGTATAATCATAGAGTTATTCTCAGAGGTAAATTTAGTTATATTCAACAGGACTTATTATTCAATAAGTGTGTACAGAACTTCAGCTTATTCTTCAGAAATCAAGTATATCCTTTAAATGGGATGTACCAGGGAAGTTATAATTGGAAACAAAAGTATTCTGACAGATGACATCTACACACACATCTGGATAATCATTGAGTCTAAAGATTCATGATTATTACCTTCCTATATCCTGTTATGCAAATCATAATCACAGAAATGTAAACATAATTTTTAAAAACATTTTCAAAAGTCATTCTTAGGAGTATGTATCAAGTCAAAATAGTCACAGTGACGTATTTAAGGATCACCTCCAGTGAGCTTCCATGGTCAAACAGATACTGTATTTGAATCCAGTCTCCTATCATTCTATTTACCAGCTATTCTCAAGGGGGGGGGCATATGACACATTTGAAGGGGGCCACCGACTGGAAACAATCCGTCACCTGTCACCTTGTTAAGGTTCACTATGCAACTTATACAATCACGATTCAGCCTATATTTTTTTTCATATTGTATTTATGGCCTTGACCAAATAAAAAGGTTAAGAATGGCTGCACTACACCACACTGAGTTGCCATACCCACACAAAGCAACATAGATTAAACTGAGAAGCCCCCTTTCCTGAAAGTTAAAAACAGTAAAGACTTCAAGCCTTGCCTCTGCATCTGTAGAGAAGTAACAAGGTACAAATCAGTTGGAAGGATGTTCCATAGTTTGGATGCCATTACTAAAAAAATACTAAGATTTCAGAGTTGTATTAACTCTTTCCAGAGATCCTTGCCAGGGAAAGTAAGGCACAGAGATTCTTTAAGAAAAAAATAAAGCCAAGTGTAAGCCACAACTTGTATTTATTTATTTAAGATATTTTTTTTCTCCTGTCTTTCTCCTAAAAAGGATTCAAGTACTGTACTCTTGGCCATCCCTGCTGCTATCTTCAACTCACCAGGCACCGATGAGTTTGAAAGCATCCCTAGGATACAACCTCATTCCTTCAAGAGGAATTAGCTTTGATTTTATCTAGATCTGCTGACTTCCCACTCCCTGCAACCACATAGAAAATGTTTTTTTCTAAAACTATAAGAATGCTATGACTGTAACAGAGAAAAAGAGACAGAGCTAGAAACTCTGCTTGAATGCATTAAGACACACGCTTATATTAATCCATTTATTTGACATTTTGACAAAGCAAAACACCACAAAATCGATAATATATTTCGATTTAGTGCCTACCTTAACAAATGGCTGGGCCGTTTACAGTCGGGAGCTAAAACTAGTACTCAGGTTAACAGTATCTGTTTAAAAAATCCCGAGAAAACCAGAAACGTAAAACAATTCTAATTCTTTTTTTAAGCTACACGATTGACAGCTATGGCAGGTATATGCGGAATGAGTGGGGCGTCCTGCTGTCTTCACTGCCCGGCTAATCTCCCTCCCATCAGCGAAGCTTCTTCGTTCTCTTTTTTTTCCGAGGAAGATGGGCGAGAGATGGAGAAGATTTCAAGAGGAAAGACGCTTGGTGCTAACAACTGTGAAGGCCTATACCCTTAAACCCATAATGCATCTCTTCGGGTTGCTAAGAGACCGGAACGCTTGGTGGTGGGGGAAACAACAACAGGGAACAATCTGAACATGCGTAGTACCATCCGCGAGGTCGCAGGACTTTTATTCTCACTAGGTGATTCGTCATATCCTGCTTTTCTAAGTAGAAGAACTGAGCGAGCCAAAGTCGGGGGTGGAGCTGTTAAGAATGTATGGGTTAGAAAGCTAAAGTTCTGGGGTGTGGGGGAAGCATAGCAAATAGGGGAAAGGAATGAAAGTGCGGTGAAATCTAGTTAGGGAATGGGATGGATTTGGGAAATAGCTTGCATTTTAGATTTGTAGTTTCTTCCCACATTATGAAGATATTAACGAAGCTTGCAGTATGGCTTAATATAGCTATCACAAGTTTATGTAGTTTAGCATTTTTCGCATGACTTTTGTATTGGTATGTTGATTTATCTATAAAAATGCATGATTGACATAATCTGAATCAAGTAAATATTAGAAATGGGCAGATCCTAGTGTCCTAACTTGCATTTTTGGGGATTTTAGAATAACTAGAAACACTGAAATACTTTGGATGGAACGGGAGGGTGTTATTTCAGTGTATCATACGGCAGCATCTTTTGTTCAAAGTTCTTAACATTTCCTGAGCACAGTAGAATATTCTTATACAGTATTAGATCAATGGGTGTAGACTCATTTGGATGCTTGTATTGTACTTCGAAGTTTATGGTAGGAATGGAATTGCAGTGGCTATAATTAATCAGGAGACTGCTTATATAGTCAGCAATTTGTGGCTGCATGACAGGTGAAATACCTGGTTTCCTTGAAAATAAGACAGGGCTTATTTTCAGGGGATGTTTTATTTTTTTCATGTACAGCAATCTACATTTATTCAAATACAGTCATATCTTCTGCTTGCTGGACAATGGTGGAGGGCGGGGTTTCACTTTACTGGGGCTTATTTTGGGGGTGGGGCTTATAGTATGAGCATCCTGGAAAATCCTTGTTGTTGTTTAATCGTTGTCGTGTCCGGCTCTTCGTGACCCCATGGACCAGAGCACACCAGGCCCTCCTGTCTTCCACTGACTCCCAGAGTTGGGTCAGATTCATGTTGGTAGCTTCAATGACACTGTCAAACCATCTCATCCTCTGTCGTCCCCTTCTCTTGCCCTCACACTTTCCCAAAATCAAGGTATTTTCCAGGGAATCTTCTCTTTTCATGAGATAGCCAAAGTATTGGAGCCTCAGCTTCAGGATCTATCCTTCCAGTGAGCATTCAAGGTTGATTTCCTTTAGAATGGATAGATTTGTTCTCTTTCCAGGGGACTCTCAAGAGTCTCCTCCAGCACCACAATTCAAAAAGCATAAATTCTTCGGCAGTCAGCCTTCTTTATGGTCCAGCTCTACATTGCTACTGGAAAAACCATAGCTTTGACTATGTGGACCTTTATTGGCAAGGTGATGTCTCTGCTTTTTAAGATGCTGTCTAGGTTTGTCATCGCTTTCCTCCCAAGAAGCAGGGATCTTTTAATTTCGTGTCTGCTGTCACTATCTGCAGTGATCATGGAGCCCAAGAAAGTAAAATCTGTCACTGCCTCCATATTTTCCCCTTCCACCAAATCTAGTTCCTTAAATCTGTTCTTCC